GTAACTACTCTATTAATAATTGGTGTTTTTTAAAGATTTATTTATTTATGCATACAAGAACAGAGGTACAGGCTACAGGCAAAAGGAATCAGAAGATTCACTAGAGAGCAAGCAGAGTGCAGAACAGGCAGATTGACTGAAGTACACTGTTAAGGGGAGCAGCGGGTGGGACAGGAGAGATTTGCTGTGCCATGTTGGTCACCTCCCTGGCCGGGGTATTTGTAATGATGACCCAGAGGCACTAAAATATTCTGATGGCTTCTGAATCTTCACAAAGAAATACTAATTATATATAGAACCTTCTGAAACTTGAGCGCTTAGTAAACTCAAACACCTGTGTGATACTAGCTGTGATTCTCAGTTAACAAAGAAATTTAAGTGTCCTTTAGCTAAGGAAGTTAGAAACCCATGTCCTTTTACCCTTGAAGTAACTAAGAATTTATTGAGAAGAAAAGAGTAAGAGAGAGGCACAAATAAAGAACAATGCAGCAATGTTCTTTTCATTTAAAAGAATAGACATTTAAAAAATACGGTCACCACATCAGCAAAAGTGCCAAAGAATAGCATGCGTTGATTAATCCAAGAATAGTCAACTAACTAGCCTTACAGCAGATAAGAATCTATTTTACAAGTTATACAGTATATTATGTCTTGCATTCAAAGACAACTTGAAGGAGAAATTTAGTTATCAGAAGGATTTATAAAAAAATAATTGACAAAAAGGTAACAGAAAATGTACCTGAAGTACATGCTTAAACAAAGAAAAAGAAAGAAATTAAGGAAGGGAGGAGGGAGAGGAAGATAAATGGAGGGCGGAAGGAAATGCATGTCATCAGCATTGTCTGAGTCAACTGACCACTGACAGAGGAGATAGAAGAGGTATTAAAAGATAGTCAAGGGGCCCTCCCTGGTGGTGCATCGGATTAAAGCATGGCACTAAGAAGTTAAAGCCACTTCAGCATGAGTTCGATCCCCAGCCCCAGAGGGGACCCACATGGCGCGGCAGACCTCTCCTGACCCGCCTGCTGCTCCCCTCACTAGTGTACTTCATCAATCAACCTGTTCTGCTCCCCACTATGGTGAATCCTCTCACCTACACTGCTACACCTCTGGCCTGTACCCTAGCTCTGTATGCATAAATAAATAAATCTTAAAAAAAAAAAACATAGTCAAGAGTATAATTTTATTCTGTTTATTTGAAAATAGACTTCCCTTTTTACTAAAATCAATTCTTAATGTTGCAAGTGTTCACAAACTAATACTGACAGTACTGTGCAGTGCCAGTGGTGTGAGAGATAGTTTACCATCACGTGCAAAGTCAGCAGAAACACTAGCAGCCAGTTAAGAAGTAATCAAGCTGGTGGAAAGAAAGTCAAGATCAATTTAGATTCTTAGTATATGAGACATTTCACATTCCTGCTTTGCCAGCTCTTTCCTGAGTCCCTTATTGCTGCTAATTTACTCCTCATAAACTAGGAGATCCCAATACTCTATGTGTGTGTGATAATGCGATACATATAGAAGTATATAAAATGTGCATGAACAGTTTAAAGTCAAAAGATAAATACCTACTTATCGATATTAGTCAAGGTTCCCCAAGAAAAACAGCCACAAAGGAAATTGATTATAAAGAATGGGCTCACATGATTAAGGAGGCTGAGACCTGCTTCCTACCTACTTATTCTGCCAGCTGGAGGCACAGGGACATAGTTTCCATCCAAGCCTGAGGGGTCTGAGAACCAGAAGTAGCAGTGTCCAAGGGCTGGAAAAGATGTCCCCGTTTGAGTATTCAGAGGAACTTCACCTTTCCTCCACTTTTTTGTTTTATTCAGACTTTTCAATGAATTGGAGGGTGTTCACCCAAACTGATGAGAACCACTGACTGACTTTCCTCAGTCTATCAATCAAATTGCAAATCTCTGGAAAGTCACAAATATCCCAAAATAATGATTCACAAGCTCCCTGATGATAGCCCCAATTTGTATACGTAAAATTAACCATCACACAATTCAATATCAAAGGTAGGAAACATGGCCCTCCCTGGTGGTGCAGTGGGTTAAAGCATTGCACTGAGAAGCTAAAGCCACCTCCGCATGAGTTCGATCCCCACCTGCCCTGGAGGTGACCACCTGGCGTGGAAGACCTCTCCTGATCCACCCACTGCTCCCCTCAGCAGTGTACTTCGCCGATCTGCCTGTTCTGCTCCCCACTCTGTCTCTGGTGAAGCCTCTCACCGCCCCTGAGCCTCTGGCCTGTACCCCAGTTCTGTATGTACAAATAAAATAAATCTTAAAAAAAAAAAAAAAAAAAAGGTAGGAAACATGTAACAGTTTCCTTTGGAGGTTAACTAAGTCCTGGGATGTAGTCTGTGGATTTGGTCACACTTCTATTTGAATTTTCAAAGTTAAATCAGCATCAAGAACTCTGCTGGAAGGGAAGAGGTGCAGCTGTAACCCCTTGTAAGGTCTGTGAGTTCTGTGAGGGAATGTCTCCTTTACTCAGCCTGGTAACTGATTTGCTTCCCAGAGAAGTGCTATGTGACTTAGGAGCAAGGGTTCCCCACTGTACCCCACTTACCCCCTATGGAATTGGCAGCTGCATACAGGGGCCTCTCCAGGGCCACCTTTTCTAGTGAGACTTACATTGCAGGTGTTCAGGGCACCACGTGCCGCCACATACATACAGCTCTACAGTAGCCAGGAGGAGTACCAGACAAATTTCACCTCATGGTTTTGCTCACTGGTAACTCCAAAGCCCTGGGACAACAGAGTAGTAGGAGGAAGTCTCTGGAAACCAAAACAATGTGAAATTCAGCTCTTAGGGATTACTGATTTCTGCTGTCTTGGAAACAAAGATAGGGAGATTATTTCACTGACTCTTGGACCAAAAGGCTGGATATCTTTCCTTTTCCCCTTCAAACACACACTCCACATTTCTCTTCTCTGTTCTGTGCCGATGGGAAACATGGGCCAAGCGTTCTGCCTTCAACAGACTGCCTAGTTTTCTGCCTTGGGTTTGAACAGTGGAGTTTGGTCACTAATGGAAGATCAAAAGATCAGATAAGGGAAGGAAATCATTCTCCTGGTTCCCTTCCTTTTGGATGAATAGGTGGTATATGTTTCTCTTCCTTAGGCTACATTTTCTGCTAGACACCCCTATCGAGACAGCTGTCTCTACTAGCTTCATTAAGGCATTAAGGCTCCCTGCTATAGTCCCATCAAATCCCTCAGCTACTGAGATTAAGACAATGTCATTGCTTTAACTTGATCCTGAGGCATCTCTGCAAATAGTTCCTTTAACCAAATCCTTGACAGCACTGTTTACTGCCACCACACTGACTAATAAAGCAAATCTGAGGTGTTGGGAGGGCAATCTGTGAAGAAAAATCAGACTTCTTGCTTTTCAGTGTGACTCAACATTCAAATAACTACAAATGTATTGTTATACTGGAGCCAGTAAAGCAGAGCACCAGTTATAGCATTTGCTTCAACAAACCTTCCCCCTACCTCCTAGAGTACCTGGAGGATATAAAAATAAACATAATTGAAGCCATTTTTTTTTAATAGGACTGGAGCACACTACTGCAAGGGGGGAAAAAGTGGCCTTACTGTCCTCTTTTAATCTCAGACTAAACCTAACCACCAACATTCCAAGAGGCCAACAAGGAGTATATCCTGTTTAAAAGGACTGATGAAAGGAACTTCTAACAACTTCTATTCTGTGACCTCTCCATTTGACCCATTTTTCCCTGGGACTTCTTCACACAATCATTATCTCATCCTCCATTACCTCATCCTTTATTCCTCCATATAAAGTTCCTGAATTTTATCCCTCCTCGGACACTATTTGGGTTTCTGCTTGAAGTTGTGCTTCCTGAAGTGCAATTATTTGATCCCAAAATAAACACCTGATTAGCCTCTCATTTTGACACTTATGTTTGACAAGGGTAATAGTCACCTCAGAGTCACACTGATGGCAGACGTTCAAAAATTGTTCACTGGCCATAACCCAACTATAAGAGGGTGGCCAAGTCGTCTCATCTCTCAGGCCTCAATTCTTCATCTGTAAGACCTCAACGCAGGAACACCACAGTCCTGCCACTGTGGATACCTAGGAAAAACAAAGTCAGGGAATTAACTGTGCTTTTAGGTCAGTTTTATTGTTTTCCAGGACACAGTAACATGAAGTTCAGTAGGGAAGGAGGCTGTACAGAATGTGGTTGGAAATGCTTTTAAACAAATATTTTAAAATTACACATCCTGGGCACTCTAAAGGGCTATTAAGTAATTTACATGCGAACAAGAGCCAGATTAAATAGCAACCGTACAGCATTGGTAGATGCCAGAAAGGCCCGATCTATATTTGACAACAAAAGATGTTCACCTTTGAGCACGGTGACAAAAGGTGAGGTTATGAAGCAGCATGTACAGTATGATCCCAACTTCATAAAATATTTATAACCTATACGGAGTGGACCATCACTCGGGGACCAGAAGGTTATTGCCTCCAGGTGCAGAAAGTCGGAATTCATTTTCTGCTAATTCTTTCTGCAACAATATTTAAACGGTATTTCCTGCAAAAGCAATGGGCACCCCCGCAGCAACTTAGAGGTATGGGGAAAGAAGGCCGCGGGTGGAGCAGCTCTTGGATGGTACCCCACTTACCAGCGGCTCGGCAGGAACAGAAGCCCCGGCAGTGGAGTTGGGGAGGCGGGAGGAGCCGGGCAGGAGCACTGGGAAACTGTGGGCTAGGGGGTCCCCGCCGGCGCGGGGGCGGGGCCTCAGCGCGTGCCGCGAGCACAGGTTGGAGGCGGGGCGGGGTCCGCCGGGGCGTGGGCGGGGCCTCGAGGAGGGCGGGCTCCGGGGCGTGGGCGGGGCCTGGGTGGAGCATCGGCGAGCGGGGCGCAGTGTCAGAGTAACCCGACTGCTGCAGGCGGGGCTGGGCCTGCCTGGGTGGGCCGGCCCAGAAAGGGTGAGCCTTTGGGATTCCGGACCCGGAAGTGAGGCGGGCACCCCTGGAAGGCGGCTGGAAGGAGCCGCACTGTGGGCGATGGCGGAGCCCACTGCAGTGCTGGTGATGGGCGTGAGCGGCTCTGGGAAGTAGGTCGGGGTGGGCACGGGGACCGCGCAGGTGATCAGACCCGCCCGGGTCCCCCACGCTTTGAGGTGGGAGGGCCTGGCTATTGCTCCCGCCTTCCCCTCTTGGTGAGGGAAATGAAACCTAGACACCTGATTCCTGCTCTTTACTTCCTACCTACTAGCTCTGGGCTTAGGCCCAGGACTGCGTCCGAGACGGGGGCTCAGCGTCTGTAAACCAACTGCGATCCGGCCTCCAGCAAAAGCCCTTTGTAAAAGGGTGCCCGCTAGAGCGCTGTCGATAAAAAGGTTCTCCTCACTCCCTAGTGGTCAGGCTGTGGCTGTTGCTTTTGGGGCTTCTTGTCTGAACGAAGCAGATGCGTGCACGGCCCAAAGCGCGGAGGCAAGCCTAGTTCCGGGCTCCCACTGACCTTTGTCGAGCTGGCCACAGCGGCAGCCCCGCTCCTGCCAAGGCCCGGCACATTCTTAATTCGAATTTAGAATGTGTATCTGCCACCTCCCTATTCTTTGATCAATATTTATCAGTTTAAACTGGATCAGGAGTGTGAATATGAGGTTGATTCTGTAAGGAAGAGAACTGGACACCAAAAAACTTCCGCCCAGCCCATATGAGCTAATACTTGATTAGATCAAACTCTAACTCAGAAATGTTGAGAATTTTAGCCCACATGACAGGGAATCTTGAATTAAAACTTGGAACCTGTGAAACGCTTGGGGGCAGTGCGAAGCAGGAGCCTAGAACTTGTTCTACCGGTTGGCTGCCAGAATCCATGAGGTTGGGTAATTCATGTGTCATTCCTAATCAGATGAGGGCATCTGGAGCACATGACTATGATTATAGTTATGATACTCATGCAGTCAAATGTTTATGGAACTCAGTACTCCTTTGTCTTTGGTGTACGGTGAACAGGACCGATAAAAGTCCCTCTGTTTACATTCAATAAACAGAAACTAAGTGAATAGTGTGCCACGTTTTCAAGTGCTCTAGGGAAAAAACTGAGAGGGCTAAGCAAGAAGGGAGAAGTAAACTATTAGACTAGGGGTATTTAACTTTGTGTTCTAACAATCTAGTGAATCCACACTCAGCTTTTCTTTCGTTTTCCTGCATCCTGTTGACCACGAAGCTGCCATTTAGTAACTCTCAACAGAGTGAATGTGGGCAGGGTTTCAACTCTTTAATTCTTTGGTTAAATCAGGGAGCAAGTTAGGTACAAATGTATATTAACACCTGCCTGATCGCTCCTTAACAAGAGAGACACAACCTTTGGTAGACAACAGTATCCAACTAGAATTTAAGGGCAAAGTTTGATTGTTTAATTTCACTGTATACATCTTTGAGGTTACCTTCTCTTTCAGGCAAGTAATGATGGCTTCTAGAATAAAGGAAGTAAGTTTTCCTTAACACTTTTTGTTTTTAATTTTTAAAAGTAAAAGCAATTAAATAAAACTATCAAGTTAATAACTAGAGGGAGTTTTAAAAACATAGAAGATATGATGGAGAGATACAGTAAAAATTTCAAAAGTGGTGTTTAAATGGTGCTTGCGCAGAACTTTAAGTGGAGAACAAGGGCTTTATTTATTGTCTTCCATTCATCTCTACCCTATGACATTAGACTGTAAGCCTCAAGACTGAGCCCATGTCTCAGTGGACTTCCATGATAGTCTGGGAGCAAATAGGTGAGTTCCTATCAGCTGAGTGAAACAAGTAGGGAAATGGACGCATGACTCTGGGCTCTTGGCTTACAGGTGAAAAAAACAATGAAAAGTTATCTTGTACAGGACTTCATAGTTACTTATGTGGTGGCAGAATGCAATGTGGGGCTAGATCTCAGGCCTTGAGACCCAGTCCTTTCCACCTGTGATTAAAATGCTGCCTGTTAGGGTCTGCACAGGTCATTATTAGATGCAATGCTGAGAGCATTTCATTGCTAGTCATAGTGGCTGCTGGTAATTCTGGGTGCTTTTTAAGGGTCTGTTTCTTGCGTCTCTGTTAAACTCCAAACAATGTTTAATTTTTTTATGAGCTAAATGGTTAAGTCACCCACCATAATCCTCCTTCCAATATCCTCAGAAATTTCTCAAAATTTTCTGTGAACTATTTATTCTGAAAAACAATCATCTACAGAACAAGGACCAAGAAACTTAAAATGATTTTTGAGAAAAAAAAAGTGTCCGGATAATTTTTTAATTTCTTGGAGGAATTAAAACCTAGATTTGAGTCACAACCCTATCGGTGCTTCAATATCAAGTTACTAGTGTTTTAATACATCACATCCAGCATATCCTAGGATGTGATGGTTGGGAAACAGTCAGTCCCTTGAACACATGTCCTCTCCACAGGTCCACAGTGGGCGCTCTGCTGGCATCTGAGGTAACCTGTTCCCAATCCTGTGTCCCATTGTGTTGTTTCGTTCTCCCTCACTCTCACTACTTCTGGCGTGAATTGGTTTATAAAACTCACTGCAGACATCTCCACATGGCTGTGAAACCCACTGGAGCAATGAATAAGAGTCCTACATCAGCCGGAGTGCAGTGAAGTAGCTTTATAAACCTCTCCTTCCTAGCAGTGGGGGCTTGTCCTCAGGATGCTGGTGAAGAGGGTGGTGGGATATTTTCTACACTTACCAATTATTTTTAGTAACTCCATGGCATTGCCTGGCACATACACTTTCAATTTGTTCTTAAAGCTAGGATGGAAATTTTACGATGCAGACGACTATCACCCAGAAGAAAATCGAATGAAGATGAGTAAAGGGATACCACTGAATGACCAGGTAATTTTGCTGTCTGCTTCTCTACGTTCCATCCAGCTGGGGCAGGCTGGTGCATGTTAGCACTTGGGGGAGTAGAGTTCCTGTGTAGTGAGGCAACTCATGGACAGGTGCTCCAGAAGCCAGGGACATGGTTGGCCCTCCCTGTGTTAACATTGACCTAGAACTTCTTCAACATCAGGAGCAGTGCCCCCTTCTGCCAGGGTCTGCCCAAACACTAGGTTTGGGAAGTATAATCCGCAAAATAAAATCCTCTCACAAAGGCTCCTATACGCCTCATTCATGGGAAAGTTCACCCAAAGCCAGAGTGTTCTTTCCAATTCAAATCTGGTCCTTTGGAAACTTCCCACCGGTATGAAGGTTACGACCAAATATCAAAACTCACAGTTGTCAAGCCAGGCTGACCGTGTCCCCAGCAGCTTCTTTAGGTGCCAGCACTACCTCCCTGGATCCACCTACCCCTGCAGTCCTCCACTGCCACAAAGCTCAAAGCTTTGGCATTACTGTTCCCACTGCCTGAATGTGCTTCTATTCCTTCTTCATAAAGTCAACCTTATACATCCTTTCTCAGCTCCCATGCCACTTCCTCAGGAAGCTTTTGATGACCTTCATAAAGTCTTATGGCAGGCACCACAGGCCTACTGCCTTTGCCCCTGATGCAGCTTAGTATTGGACAGAGAATGTGGCTAACATTTACCTCTGCAATTACATTTCACCTCCAAATGGGCAGGGATTGATTGTTTCTTTTAATCATTGTATATCCCCAGAACCTGACACCCAGTAAAAGTCAAAGTATGGCATATTTTTAAGTAAATGAATCAAGAAATAGATGACTAGTACTTCATTCTTGTATGCATCTTCCTGAGGTCATTCCTTAGGTTGTCTCTCTCTAACCAGAGTTAGAAACTGGATTTGTCAACTAGTTGTCACCCAGAGGCCTCCCTGGTGGCCTAGGGGTTAAGTTTCAGTGCGATCACAGTTAAGGCCCAAGTTTGATCCCCGGCCAGGGAGCTACACCACATACGGGCAGCAGAACCTCTCCTGACTTGACTGCTGCTCTCTTTGGCAATGTACTTCAGTCAATCCGCCTGTTCTGTTCCCCACTGTTTCTGGTGAATCCCACCCCCGCACCTGTGGCCTACACCTCAGTTCTTATATGCAAAATAAAACAAAACAAAACTAGCAGTCACACAGGTGAAGCTGTAAGCACAGTGCAAGGGCAAGGGCAGGGCCTAAGAGCAGCTGGTGGGAAGGGGACAGCCAGGCCCAGGTGCTAAACACGTCCAAAGTGCAGGAATGGAATGGGACTGGCCAAAGATCATCATGTTTTCACTTTCAGTGAACTTGGCTCCTCTCCACTTGAGCTCCATCTCACTAGCTTCCCTTTGCCCTGCTGTGAGGGTGACTTCAGTCTCTCAACCATCATTAGGTTTAGTTCTAGAGCACTCAGGAATGCACCTTGAGTTTGACATTTGCAACACTTGAGTTTAAAAGATAATCATATGCAAGAGAGTGATCTAAATGCAAGAGCATTATGCTAGAGGTAACAACCTGACTCCACCACTAAGTTCTTGTGACCTTTGGCAAAAGGGTTAGTCTCTGTGCTTCATCTTCTGCCTGTGAAATAGAGATGGTAATAGGACCTATTTGGGTTCTTGGGTTCAATGAGATAACACCAGAAAAATGTGCCCAGTGACTTGATGCCTTACCTTGTACTTGGCCTATTTCTCAAAACCACCAAGATATCTGTGGACTTTAACAATAACAGACATGATGGACTATGTTTCTGCACAGAGAAGACCTGGAAAATTCACTTCTGTCTACTTAATTTCAGGACAGGATTCCATGGCTCTGCAAATTGCATGACATTTTACTAAGGTAAGAGGACATCATGTGTTGGCATAAACCAGTGGGAAAATCCATCAGAAAGTACTAAGGGTAAAATATGCTTTGGAAATCACAGCTAATAGATAAAGGATCCCAGAAATGGAATACCGCTCTACTGAGTTACCCATTCTGGCTAACTGGTTCAGTTGGTTTCTGAAGACAAACCTCCCAGCTTGCTAGCTAGGAGGTCAGCCATTTGACGCCCACACATCTGAGCCTTCATCTGAAAGTGGTGATTTAGTTCCTACTCACCACTATGAAGAATTAGTGATATGAAGCAGGATGAGCACTTCGAACAGTATCCAAATGCTAGTAAATATGCAACAATTAACAGTAATATCACCTTACTAGGACCACTTTTTCTTCCCCCTGCCTCAAGCAATGACAACCAGGAAGATCTGGAATTATTAACAGGACTGGAGTCCCAAATTGCTCAGCTCTGAGCAAATGGGGTCTCCTCCACCTGTCTGGGGACCTGACCCTTGGAAATCCTTATTGGACATGGAGAAAGAAAACAAAGACAGGAAATGTGTTAGAAATCTTGCTTTCAAAGATAAAATTCCATTTTATAAAAATCTGAAATAAATCCTATTTTATAATCTAAAACCATGTAAGTCATGAAATTATATTTTTAATTAAAGTTTTTTGTTTCTTTCACGCCACACTGAAATGGCTGGCAGCCTTGTGTTTGCACAGGCTGAGGCTTTTGATTTGTAGGTTAGGATTTAAGGTATTTGGGTCTCTAAAAAACAGACTAATTGGATAAATATACTGACCTGTAATGGAAGCAGAAGTGAAGATCCTCAGGAGAGTAGAGATTAGACTTCTTCCAGAACCAGAACAAGCAATCGTCCACTTTGCCTGGGGAAGTGTTGGAAGACTCAGGGACATTATTAGGGCCGCAGTTTAGTCACCACTTTTTCTCCCCCCTACTTCAAGTCATGACAACCAGGAAGATCTGGTATTATCAGTAAATCAACAGGATTTACTGTTGATCTACTGTTGTTGCTGATGATACAATGAATCTCTACCAAGTTGGCTATAAAATCAAAGATCCAATCAGAATTCTTGGTTCTGATGTAAATTTTGTCCTAACTCCCAAGCCAGCACTCGCCCTTCACTTCTTTATTCTAGGCCCTTCCTGGCTTCCCAAGATGATAGCTTCTGCAACCCAGTATGGGCACAATGGTTGGATGGAAGTGGTACAGTCTAGGACATACTCATTTTCCCTTTTTTTCCCTCATTACTCACCTGCTCTCCTTGGCCACAGCCATGCTCCCATTTTTCCTTTCTTTAGATCCACACTGGTAACTTCCCAGACTCTTTCTGCATAGAGTAGGAATGGGCAGAAGCCAGCCACGAAATGGAAATCACTGACTAGCTGTGGAGGGCCTAAGTTGAGCTGCACCAGTACAGCCTACTGGCAGCCACCCAGGTCCAAGTACTGAGGCAGAGCACCCACAGGAGCTCAATAGCACCTTAGGCAGGCATACCCCTCACCTTGCCAAGACTTTCCTTACCACAGTTCTGTGGGCAGGTACTCTAGTAGCCACATATAACACAGAAGGAACGGATGCTCAGAGAAGTAAATCCCCTTCCCCTGATGTCTCTGGTCACTGGTGGAAGATCTTTACCTCAATTTGTCAGTTTCTTATAACACCAATAGCATAAACATGGTGTGGACAAATACAAAACAGTAAATGCCTTCATACTTTAACACTTCCCCTCCACTTTTTTTTTTTAAACAGAGACACAGCTTCAGGACAGCACGTAGTTCTAACCTGTTCAGCTCTGAAGAAAATCTACAGAGACATCTTAATCCGAGGGAAAGATGGCACATCTTGTAAGAGTGACGAGTCAGAGAAGGAAGGAAAGCCTGCTGAAGTGAAGCTCTTTGTCGTCTATCTGAATGGGTCATTTGAGCTCATTTCTGAACGCTTACACAAGAGAAAAGGACATTTTATGCCCCCTGAGTTATTGCAATCTCAGTTTGATACTCTGGAACCCCCATCAGCTCCAGAAAATTTCATCCAAATCAGTGTGGATAAAAACCTCTCAGAGATAATTGCTTTAATTATGGGAACTCTAAAATGAAATGAGAATCACTTCCCATCAGTGGTACAAACAGTAGAAGGCCCAAATCTCTATTCTATCCCAAACATTGTTCCATTATCCTGTCAAGACTGTATGCTAAATTCTAAGAGAGCAAGTCACAGTGAATTGAGAATGCTTACTTGAGTGTAATTTTAGGCATTTGTGATACTGTGTCATCATGCTTTGGCACACTGGGAGAAGGAACTTTAAAGGTTCATTCGAAATTTTAATTCATGTAACCAATCAAACTTTATGATCACTGCTGTAAACCAAGGCCTTATTTAAAACATTCTGACTATGCATGTATTTGGATAAGTAAGTGAAAATTGACTATCCTTACAATTTTCTCTAGAAATTGTTCTCAGGATCAGAAATGTGTATAGTATTAATCACTCACTAAGTCATTTCATACCACCTCTCGCTCTTTGAGCACAATTAGTAATTCATGAATATCAAAAATCTTGAAGCTGGCACATTAGTGAATGAAGTACAAACAGGCCAATCCAGTCTGCCTCCTCACTTTACAGAGATCTCTGGAATCAGGTTGGTCTGATCCTGCCCACTGTCCTGTTGTAAAAGTCATCAGTGGCAACACAGTAGGCAGGCTAGGGAGGAACACTAGAAACAAAACCTTACAGTGGGCAGCAATGCCCCCTGGCACACTGGGACGGCTGGGCTGGGCAAGGTGGTGAAGGAGGTAAGAGACTGATACATTCCTGGGCTAAGACTAGGGTAGCAGAATCTCATCTAAGTGGACTGGGTCGGCAAAGCCTCCTCCCAGGGCTCCAGGACACAGCGATTATGCTAACTGGTTGGCTCTAGCCAGGGGAGTTGTTTTGGGACCAATTACTGTTTCTTTCACAAGGACAGCAACTTTTACCGCAGGAAATACAAATACAATAGGTACAAGTTGGAAAAAAGGGCTTTTCTGGGTGGATAGAACTTGCATACTTAAAAGGAACCCTGAGCTCTCTACCAGGTTGTTTGGGGTGCCTGGCCTTACTTCAGTTTACATCAATCCCTATATTTAGAGTCTAGTATTACATACTGAAACCATTAGATTACAAGTTACTTGCCTCTTTTTTATAATTTGTAACAATGGCATATTTAATATTTGCTTTTTTTTTTTAACCAATTAGTTTCATGACAGTAAAGGGGGTATTAGAATTTTTTAAGGAGGCACTGAGTCTGGTGGGGCTGAGAAATCACTGCTCTAACCTTGCCAGAGGTGGCCTTATAGAGGAGTCCATGCTGCCCTCTGGTGGCTCAAAAGATAAAGGAGGCACAAGCTGCTCTCCCAGCCTTGACAACTTCAGGGGCTCAGCATGCATACAAGGGTTTCAGCAGGCCCCAGGCCAAGGTTACGTGGAACACTGCCTTACCATGCCCATGACCCGGCCTCTGACCTGGAAAGGGGCTGGGGAGAACTGTTCACAGTGATGCAAAATAGATGCCAAGGAAAGATTTCCTCACCCCTGCAGATCCCACTACCAACATTTCCTCAGGCAGAACTCTCCACTTTGCTTTCCTACCTTATCCATAACGCCTGCTTCATTGCAATTGGGACAACTAAGAAAAATCATGCAAATGCTGAGATCAAAACCTGACACACTAACTGCTCAACAAATGTTAGCTATTATACTTGTCACCCTGGAGTCTAAGGTAGCACAGCCCTGGAAAAAGCACCACCCTGGCTTTTCTCACTCAGGTGGGGCTTATGAACCCATTCCAAGTGTATGAAGCTTCTGTCCTTAAGAGCCTTCTACCCTTGCCCGGGTCTCCTTCCACCCCAACCCCAACTACTGGCCCTCAAATTAGACAGAGTTTGGAATGAGGCCCCAGAAGCCTGTAATGACTTGGTAACCATCAGTTCTGGGATCAGAACCCAGAAAAGTCTAACTCTACATCTGGTACTCACACACCCTGCACCTCTCAAGAGATTGCTCTGATAAGCAATCTGGTTTTCAGCATATGGAAATGCAAGGACAAAAGAAGTTAAAACAGGTTGATTTTCATCAAAGATACCATCACCCAAGGATTATAATCTTCTGAAACTACTGCATGCCGTTTATTCTCCCATCATTGAAGGGCAAATCCCTGCCACTACTTGTTATATTCTGTCTTTAATGATTATAGCCAGCCTAGTGAGATAATGAAGTGCTATCTGATTAAGGCTTCAATTTGCATTTCCCTAATGATGTTGAGCATCCTTTCATGTACTTACTTCATCTTCTCTGGAGAAATGTCTATTTATAATCCTTCATCTTAAGTTGTCTTTTTAATGAGTTATAAGAGTTTTTTTTTTATATATCCTACATACTAAGTTCTTAACAGACATGATATGCAAGTATTTCTGACCATTCTCTGGATTGCTTCTTCAGTTGATCAATTTTGAAACGAATCTAAGTTTGCTAAAGTCCAATTTATTTGCCCCTGATTGCTTGTGATTTTAGTCTCATCTCAGAAACCACTGCCAGTTGCTTTCTTCTAAGAATTTTAGTTTTAGCTTCTTATATGAATGTCATTAAGTCCATTTTGAGTTCATTTTTAATGACATTTTAACAAGATCCAATAGTCTCAATCAGAAAGTCTTTCCAGCATTGCTAGAGGCCTCATAGAGGAGGTAAATTCACTTCTTGTTGAGAACTACTGACCTAGTCCCTCTGCTTTAAATACCATCCAGATAACACTGGCAGATATTTTTCCTATGTTCTGAAACTCTCCTCCAATTCACCTCTCCACTGGAATGTTCTAAGTACAGCCCAATGACCATATCGAAATTGAACCTCTGATATATACTATTTCCCATTATGTGTCTCTACTATGTTCACCTTGTTTCACTCCTCTCTTGCTCTTAACCTCAGACTTTTATCCAACAGGACTCTTAAGAATACTGCCTTCAAATTATAACCCGATCTGTCTACTTATCACTTCCACTGCTACCAAACCAGTTTAAGCCTACCTCCTAACAGCCCACCTGCACCTAACATCTTCTCCCTGATCCAACACTTATACCTGATAACTTGTTAGAAACACGAATTTTCCTCCAACCCCATAAATAATGAACTCTGGGAATGGGACACAAAAGTGGGAGTATTAAGTCCTTCTCATCAAATATCAGAATCATTCTCCCTTATCTCATTTCTTCAATCATATTCTCTGCATTGCTATCTCCCTAGCTACTCTTGTCTGGGCACAATGAACTCTGTATTCTGCAAACACATTCAGAACACTGATATTACAGGGTAGCTTAATTTCTCATCCCTCTTCCTCAAAGAAGGTTAATACTCTCCCAGCTATTCTTTAAATCTCTTTAAATGCCACCATCTCAAGATAACTTCTCTGACAATAAAATTTTTTTAAAGTATATAAAGTAAAAACACCATCCTGAACTAGCCTTATTCTGCTTAATTTTTCACCAAAGCATTTAACACTGCCAAACAGGCCATATATTACATACACACATACATACATATGCCTTGTTTTCTGTCTCAGCACCCTACCATGTAAATTCCATAGAACTTTTATTTACTGTTATACTTTCTACTATACTGAGCAAATATTCAATAAATGTTGACACTGTAAAGTAGTAATTGCTTACAGCTGATTAAAGGAAAGTCAAAAGATGAAAGTCAAAATGGTGAAAGAGCACTTAATGTTACTTAAGTCACTAAAGAAAATCATCTCAAAACAGAAAGAAATAAACACCCCAAAATGGAATGAAACATGTCAATAAAAACAGATGAATAAGAAAGTAGAATGCAACAGTTTTCAAAAAAAGCTAAGTTAGTTCAGAATAAATCAATCACCAGTTAGCGAAGTTTACAAAAACATCATAACTGAGCCCAGAAAATGATAAACACAGAAGTACCAGAAGTAGAGATTTGCTAATATAAATACAGCTTTTCCCAAAGTGTGTTCCTCCGATGTGACTTTATACTGAAGCATGGTCAGGGTAAAGGAGGAAAAAGGCTGGGTTAAAACTACAAAACCGATTTCTTTAAAGCAGGAATTCTTGTTGATTCTAACACATTAAATTTAATGTTAATCTCTTCAGACAGGAAGTAAGGTATGTAGACAAGCAGTTTTATTACTACTGTTAATGACATTCTTATTCATTCTGTATTATTTTATTGTGATTTTTCTTATTAGATAACATAGAAAAATAGAAGATCATTTTCATTACTATACTTAAGTCACACCTGAAACTTTTATTCTCAACGCAGAGAGGCCAGCTGTCATTTATTTGTCTGGCTGTTTAGCATTTGTTTTCACTTGGGAAATAAAACCCTAATTTTTTTTTTCCTTTTCTTTACTCAAGTTGTAGTAAAATAACCCAATATTAGAATAATCTAAACCTGTATAGTATTTAAGCATATTTTTAATACTTTTCAGAGTTGTAAGTAATGAGATACTCAATTATGACAAACATATTAGAAATAAGCAACAACAAAATCATATTACTGTTGCAACTTAAATTACTTAAGAGATCACACACAGTACAATGTGCCACACAGTCCTCACCATCATTTTTTTCAATGAAATCACTAAGTACCAAAAAACAAAACCAGGAGTCCAGGTCACCTGACTTCTGAGTTGGCTATACTTTTTAAGACACAGTATATGAGCATATTCTAGTTGGGGAAATAAAAATTGATGAACAGTCTAAAGTATGATAAAATCTGGGATAAAGCAACTCCAACAGTCTTTAAAAGACATGGCTAGAGAAAGACATCTTTTTCTTTCTACAAAAAAGGCAAGACAAACCAAGTGTAAAAGCTAGAGATTTATTGTTATTTTGTGATTAATAAATTGTCAAATTGGTTATGACACTATCCCACATAGTATACCACCATTAGCCAGTACAAAAGTTTTTAAACCAGACTGAGGCATAAGGCAGAGAGCAAAGACACATGAATACCACCCTAACAACTTCCTCTAGTCATGCCTCCACTCTGACCTTAGAATATTTTCCTCCTGGGGAAAAGTGTCGGAACAGTGCACAGTAGGCAACCTGGCCTCTTAACCTTTTTTAATAGCAAGCAACTTACAGAAGTAATGGAATTCAACTTGTATTTCCCTTGATTTTATTGGTCTGAACTCATTTTAGGTTAAACATTTTATTTTCCTGTAACTGTACATGAGAGAATCTAATGACCTAAGAGAATACTGAACCAGAGTCAGCCAAATATATTACTGACCCCAAAGTTATGCTTTAATTGGTCCTAAAGGAATGTATCGCCCCCAGCAGTTTGAGAGAGAGGCTAACAGAACTTCTTTGGGGAGGGAAGAAAAAGGCTGCAGAACAGCCAAATGTACTCAACATTGTTAAAACGGCTCTTTTTCACCCCTGAATGATACTTCTTTACTACACTATACGCACAGAAATCCTAACAGAATCTTGGTTGCC